CCCCAAAACCCCAAAACCCCAAAACCCCAAAACCCCAAAACCCCAAAACCCCTTATAGGTTTAAATTTTTTGAAATTAATAAAACCAAATAAGAAAGATGTCAAAGAGTAAGATTTTCGTTAATAATGTTATAGCTGTTCTGCTGTTTAACGTTACTGATATTGAACTGGAGGAAGATGCTGCTAATTATAATACAAACAGACCTAATATTATTGCTTACATTTCAATCGACAACCAACTTATTGATGCTGTATGGAGAAATAGGATCGAAATTCCCATTTCCCCTATAAATCAAATCCTTCAAATCGTTCTAAGAGAAAATAATGAGGAACAAAGAAAATTAGGAAGCCTTAGTATTAGAGTAGAGCAGTTCTTGGAATTGCAAGCCAAAAAGACATACTCTCATTGGGTTACACTTTTCGATTATATTGAAGATGATGAGTATGATGGAGATCTTGGAATTGATGATGATGAAAAACCAAGAGCGTACATAAGGTATGGACTTGAGAATGCAATTACTGAATCAAAGAAACCCAAAGCATTTACTACACATGTTAGGAAAGCAAAAGAAGACAGAAAAGGATCTTCGAAAATAGTAACTACAACGAAGACAACAACATATTCGATAAGTTCTGCATCGAGATTCAAGCAACAAAATCAAGAAGAATTGCATGCTCCTGAGCCTGTTCCTGAGAGGCAAGTAATTATTCAACAAGAGGCGCCTCCACAGCAGACCCGTCAGGAAAATATAGAGAGGTACTCCGTTAGAATCCTTGAGTGAGATTTAAAAGCAGATACAAAAGAACTAATTCATGAGCTGCAAGATCAGCAGAATGATGTGCTGAAGCAACAGGAGTATAGAATGAAGACTCTTTCTAATTTGGACAAACTTCATAGAGAACTAACGGGAGAACATATCCAAGACCAAGTTTCCTATTTCAAACTTCAAAGAAATGAAAAAGATATCTTACTGGATTATGAAGTTAGGAAAGCAGCAGTTGGGGAGCACATCAAAGTTCTAAATAGCCAGATTGAAAATGTGGATCTAGAGACCCATCAAACACAAAATGAGTACCAGCAAAGATCCAAGACCAATTCCTTGCTCGAAAACGAGGTCAATAAAGCTGAATATGCAGATTCTGGGGGTCTTTCTCAAGAAGCCAAGGATCTGAGAAAAGAGAATAACAGTCTTAGAAATAATACATCAACATTAGACTCTAATCTGAATAATGAAAGAAATAATACAAATGATTTGAAGTCTAAGCATGACCAAGCCATAAAAGCCTATAATGATACTCTTGAAAAATATAATGATTTGCTTCTCAAAGCTGAGGAATCAAAGAAATTGGCAGATTCCCAGAGAAATGGTGTACTCAGCGATATTTCTAAAGAAAATTTAGTTGATATCTCATTATCAAAAAAGAAGGCTCTTACAAATCAATCAGTATCCTCCCTTTCTGAGTTAGCTCTAAAATTAAAGAGTCAGTTAAGCAATTTAGATCATAAGTATAATGAATTCATGGATAAACTTACCAAAGTAACTCAGGAGCAAGAGAGAGAAGTAGAAGATTTACAGAATCAGCTCTCAAAGAATGGGGAGTCAGCACATGACCTTAGTAATAATCTCAAGAATCAAACAAAAGAAATTGAGGAGCTTCACAAAGAGCTAGATCAAGAAAATGCTTCAAATTTAAATGGAAAACTGAGAAAAATAATTGATGAGTTACTACTCGCAGATAATAAAAGAAAGGATATCCAAGACTGCCTTGAGAATGCTCAATCTACTTGGAGAGCAAAGCTTCAATTGTTTACTGACGAAGCTAGCAGAAGAAGCAGAGAAGACGCCAGAGAGAAAAGAATTCATGAAATTGAAAAACATATTTCGAAGATTGACCAACTGACCAGAGAAATTTATAGTTTAGAAAACGAAGCAGACTGCATTCAAACAAAAATATTCACGGACACTCATAGAGACATCCTCGAAGAAGAGCTCAGAAGAGAACTCGACAGTGTCAAGCTCAAGGCGAGATGGGCCGAAGACGAAAGAGCTCATTCTTACGAAGAACTTCAGGCGCTGCTTCAAACGTTGAGGGAAGTCGACATCAGGGAAATGCAAGAGTCTGAAATCTCTGAGTTGAGGACCGAAGTAGACGAGGTTAGGATTATCTTGACTGAGAAAGCTCAACAAATCAGAGAGCTCGAGACTGAGGTTACCATCTGAGTTACTAAAATTGAAGAAATCACCTACCTCATTGAACTAAAAAACCAAGAAATTAGAGAGTTAAATATCATACTTGAAGAAAAATAACAGAATCATTAAGAACTTAAATAAGCAACTCGGAAAAGCTACAAAAGCCAACTACGCTGCTGCAAGAGGAGATGCAGTTGATAAGATGCTTGCTGAATATCTCAATCAGTTTGGAACCAGAGTTCCGATTAAAAGACTTGGAAAAGGATTCTATTTGTTTGGAACAAAGAAAATCTATGCAAAGATCATGAATGGAAGATTAGTTGTCAGAGTTGGAGGAGGATATATGGTCATTGATGAATTTGTTGCTACATATGAAGAGCCAGAACTTACAAAGCTATATAAGTTAGCCGAGAGAGAAGGCTTAGACAATATTTAATGATCTTGACATTGAAGCTATTACAGGAATTTATGCTGAGGGTGCGAAATCCCCAGGTGGAAGATCTCCTGGTGGAAGATCTCCAAAAGGTGCTAAAGGAAAGAAATCTCCAGGAAAATCGCCAAAAGGACAATCTTTTAGGACTAAAGCAAGCAGTTCTATTAATGGAACTCAGAGAAGTCCAAGAATCTCAGCTGCAACTTTGAAAAATGCTAGAAAGATCTAAATTATGATTGAAAAGTAATTCATTACATAAAATCGTAATTCAATAACATAGGACCAAAAGGGGTTTTGGGGTTTTGGGGTTTTGGGGTTTTGGGGTTTTGGGGTTTTGGGGTTTTGGGG